CTCGTAGCAGTTCAAGCATGAAATTTATACGCCAAACGTCAACTTCAAACGCCAGATCTTAATTTACTGCTTTGGTGAATACATGACTAGTGGTTAATTTGCTTTCTTAAATCATTGCTAAAGAGCATAAGTTTAATAATTGTTTAACGTATTTCAAAACTGGTGTAAAAGCTATTATAATAGAGTTGTAAAATCAAAAATTTCGCTAGCGGTTTGACGTTTGCCGTAAACGTCAATCTTAAGGTCTCTAATTTCATGCTTTAACGACTATACAAGCCCTCATAGCAGTTCGGGCATGAAATTTATACGCCAAACGTAAACTTCAAACGCCAAATCATAATTTACTGCTTTCGCGCGAATACGTGACTAGTGGTTAATTTGCTTTCTTTTAAATCATTGCTAAAGAGCACAAATTTAATAATTGTTTATATTTAAAAACTGGTGTAAAAGCTGTTATAATAGACTTGTAAAATCAAAAACTTCGTTAGCGGTTTGACGTTTGCTGTAAACGTCAAGCTAAAACTCTCTATTGCATGTCATTATACCTACGCTGGCCTGCACAGACCGCTCGAGTATATATCACAATAATTTTTTACTGCATACGGCGGCATACGCTGGCATACGGCGAGGCATGCAGAAACGATAAGCATACTCTAGGCACGCGCTGAATACGCTATATAGAAGTACGCCAGATGTACGATATTCGTACGCTGGCATTCCAAGGGTTTTTGTGCGTATGAAAATTATTTCATTAATTTGCATACGCTTCTCATACGTTTCTCTCATACAGTACGCAATAGTCGAGAGTTTAACGGCTTCGTGTTATACAGTACGTCAAACGGCAAACGCCAGGTGCAAAGAAAATTTTTTACGGTATCAGGCAATAAAGAGTATAAATGAACTTGCTGTTTTAAAACCGAATAAATACATAATTATTCTTTCGACGCAAGAAAGAAAATACGAAAGAAAACCTTAAACGAAACTTTTGCCAAGAAAATTTGTGCCTGCCGTTTGTTGTTCGCGGAAACGTGAAGCTTAAACTCCCTAGTGTGACAAGGCCTTTAGAATGTCACTTATACAATAAATATATATAACACGTTCTACGATAGGGTTGCATATTCTATTTAGCTCAAATTTAGACAAATCTTACGATTTGATGAAGAATTGGCAATAAATTTTGAAAATTTTGGATAAAGGTTGCCAAAAATTGCAAATCTCAAAACGTCTCCGAGGTTGTGTTGCAATATTTTCAAATGTTCGATTCTTTTAGCAAGAAATTTTAAACCAACCATTTAGACAAAAAGTCTATTTCAACTGCATTGCACTATGGAAACAGTATAAACGTATTTTTTATGAGAATGATTATAATTTTCAATAATAATGTCCAGAAAGTAAATTGTTATGTCATACACAATTGGGGCATTTCTTGTGTAATTAGCAAACTTTCATAAAACTCTGGATATATATATTTGAGGAATAACATTCTAAAGTTCATGTCAGTGTCGACATTGGTAAGTTTCTGTGATGAAAATCAAATAGCAATAAAATATTATATATATATATATATATATATATATATATATATATATATATATATATATATATCTTTTTATATATATATATATATATATATATATATTTGTATATATATATTAATAAATGAAGACATGTTCAGAACACATGCGTATCTGAAAGTGACCCTAAAACTTCTATTAACGAAAAAACAAAAGAAAAGTAAAGTACACTTACCAGAAAATAGCACAGGAAACGTCAGATCAGTAGTATCAACGTAAATGTTTTCCTTGGATGTGGCAAGACCAAGCGGTAGGACCCACATGAGAATTTGTAGCGTAAACATCATTATAGGAAAGGTTTTCACACGTATCGTGCTTAAATTAAATCTTCTTTGTATTTTCTGCACCCTTCTTAACTAGCAGACTTCAACCTCAAGAATGATCTTGTTTCCTTATTGAAGCAGATCGAGCTGGGAGCTATAACTGTGCTTCCGCATGGCGAGAAATTGTGGACATTAGGGGGCGGAGCTCAAGTATAATATATTCTGCGTTCATAAATGTCTTGGTTACCACCAGTGGCTTATAACGCTTTTTTAACCACTTAGGATTAATTATTGGATGGTTAAACCCAGTTCATAAGAATTTTTAGCTTGTCGGGGCAAACAGAAACGCTAGACATCCGAAACGTTTCTGTGTTTATATGTTTTGCTCGATTGACCCATCTGACCTTTGCGCAAAAAATTATATACTCACTTTTACACGTATCTGAAGTCTTGCCGACAATGTTTACGAATATATATAATATTTTGTTGCCTAGAAACTATAAGGCATGGTTACAAAGCTTCTCTGCTGTAGAGGCTTCTTTAGAGTATACAAAATGGAGGCGTCAGCCATATTTCGAAGAAGAAGCACCAACTTAATTATTGCTGTTATTTTGGTCAAATTTTGCGTGCGGCGTCATATTTCAAAGGCTAAAATACGTGAAAATTCACCTAAAATACATGGCTATAGTGCTATACCGAATGGGGAATAAATCGTGCTGGTTTGGTCTAAATTGGGCTTAGAAATGCAATGTCTTGTCAAGCCAAATCAGATTGAACACTTTGCATATGTTCAATATTTCGTCTGAAAATGGAATTTATTGAGGTCTGCTTGACGTATTTGTGCTGTTTCACAATACAATTCTTAATTAATTAACTAAAATGCTTCATATTTAATTATTGCGATACCGAATTGCGGTTAAGTCCAGATATTCTAAACTATATCTTGGAAATTAGGTTTTAACAAGTACAAACTAAAACAGATTGAACACTTTGAATTGTAGCGCTAGGTTAAGAGCAAGGGCGATTTTTTCGCTAACTCCCATACAAAACATAAGAGTGACGGCGGCCATATTTTTACAAAATATTTTCTAAGTCCAAGCCATAGGGTCCAAGCACTCAATGCGCGTGCGTGACCATTATTTCTCGCCATGCGGCAATGAAATAGGTAAACAGTAATTCTATTGCCTGTTGGGTAAATTTACATAGCAGTTTATTTGTCGACCACCCGGTTTCGCATTACATTACGACCCATGCAATTTTTCTAATGTAAATATCTCGGCGAGTATTTACCCCCCTTTTAAATAAAAGCCACCGTTGAAATCCTCACAAAATAACCTTTCGAACGGGGGGCAAGTGCCGTCAAAACATTACACAAACCGAAACAATATATCATATATTTACTAACCGCTTGATTATATTAGATTCGTTTATTCAAATAAAACACTTTGCAGTCATAGACTGAATTATGTGAATATTTACAACAATTGAGTTTTAGAGCTTGGCCAAAGATTCTAAATTTCATATCAAGAAAATCTTGAATATCTCTTGAACTCTTCGGAATTTCCAACAAGTCGATCGGAGTGAAATACTCCTTGTATTCAAACGCTTTCGTGTACAAAATTTCGTTTGAATACGGCGAGTAGAAATATTTATTTTGAATTTTTCAAGATGTCTGGTTTTTTAAATGTGTTTGAAGCGAAACCAGGATTATTCATAATAAGTTTTTAGACGTTGTCTGGTTTTTAAATATTTATTATTACGAGATTTCGAGCAGTCTTCAACGGGTGGATTACATTACCCGTTGAAGACTGCAGACTGGCAGTCGAAAGGTCGCAAAAATAAACATTTAAAAACCGGAGAACGTCTAAAAACTTATTATGTCGGGTTTTACTTGCGCGCGCGTACATTGCTCGATAATTGGCCAATAAGAAGCTCCTCATGTGGCCGGGATGACCTCAAACTCACACGTGTAGGTGCAATTTGACCTGTACAATCCATTTCTGGCATTTGTACAACCTCGTACCCAGGGTATTTGCTCGTGGAGAGCGAAATACCCTGGTATGGCCTGGTCACGTGACCGTAATACAATTACTTTACTAAGTGGGGGTGGGTGTTTTTAACAGCCTGTTCGCAGGTGTGATGTATGTTGCTGAAGACATTTGTTCAGGAGTGTAAAATATAAAATCCACAACGAATCGAATATGTTTTTGTCTTGCCTTCATTCCGCTGTAATTAAAAGTGGTTTATACAGCAATGTAAATCTGAAACCGAAACAAACAAAGTGTTTGGAGGCCATGTATAATAGGCGAGATACTGTGGCAGTTTTGCCTACAGGATATGGTAAATCTTTGATTTATCAATTGCTGGCAACAATATTGCTTAACGAGAGGAACCTCTACGAACAAAGGCGATCTAGGGAAATTGTTTTAAGCCGGTCTACTCCCATTATCCTTGTTGTTTCGCCTTTAAATTCACTGGTCGACGATCAAATATGAAAGATAAATGATAGTACGTGTTTAAAAGCAACAATTGTGAAAAAGAATTACGGAGAATTTGGTGCTGATTTTAGTGATGAAGCATGTTTGTCGTCTAAGGCAAGATTTAATTTGTTCCAGTCTGTGCCATACCAAAACTCGGTTGAAGCTATTGTCTAACAGCAGTCTATATAGTTGCACATTCGAGCCCAATTTGGAAGAATTGTTTGTAGTACGAATTGCTTGTAGCGCTATATTACTGTATCACTAAATTTTAAAAATGTTCAGAGGCTGGGGGTTTTATATTTTGTATGAAATGCCCTTAAAGAAGAACGCTGTCTGAAGCCGAAATGAACACAATGCATAAGTAAAATGACAATTTTGTACTGGTTTGTCAAATGTATGTTGGTCCGTGAACAAAGTTATAAGATAAAATAGCCTGCGAACAGGCTCTCAAGCTGAATTGAGAGCCTGCATCGATGACTAATGAATTTGAATATCTGCGTCTCAAATCGTGACGCGAAATTCTCATTGGTCAGATGCTGTAATTTATATGTTTCCGCTGAGCTCTATATATGTCAACTGCTGAAGGAGCACTATGCATAAAAAACACATTAACTGATAAAATTGGTCTTGGCCGTCTTATATCAAAGCACGAAATGTTCTGTTTTGAGAAAACAGTATTTAAAACATTTGAACTTTCGCTTGAATATCTTATATTTCGAAAAATGACAGTATAAACTGTACGGTCTAAATTTAGTTTGCACGGTCTAAATTTAGTTTGCACGAAAGTTGTAAACAACACCATATAAGAATAGACATTCCATATTTGGAAAAACGAACGTTACGGGGCAGATATTCAAATTCATTAGTTATCGATGCAGGCTCTCAATTCAGCTTGAGAGCCTGTTCGCAGGCTAAAGATAAAATCGCCATCAGTGCAAATTTCGCCTTCGGACTCCCGTATATTCCCACAACACGCAATGCGATTTGCTCCAAAATAATTTCAAAATTTCAATATAAAATATACAAAAAAATAAAAAAGATTGATGTGGCCTAAAAGTTTAATTGTATAAAAGTACTAAGGCGTTTTGTTTCTATTATATCATTAGCCGCTTCCGTTTAAATATCATGAAGTTAACAGTTGCAATCACACCCGTCGGCAATTACACTTTTTCTAATGTTGTTCTATAGTTGTCAAAATCCGCAAACTTGTGTCGCAAAACTTGAAATATAATTAGCTATGAAGGACAACATGTGGTAAAAACAAACAAATGTTAACGAAACATTTCCAAGCAGTCTTTTATATTTACAAAATTAACCCTAGCTCTGCACGCACTTTACTTTTTGAGTTTTTAAAATTATTATTACGCATATAATCAGTATAAAAAGAACGGAAACTATAATAAGTACAGTAGTGCACCTACACAGATTAGTTTTTTAACTTACCGTATTTTCGTTTGAAGAAAATAAAATGGACCGTCGTGTTGAGGAAGCTGCTTGTTGAACGAGGGTTCTGAAGGGGTAAAATGGGAACTGGGATTGACCTATTTTTAGACTGGAAAAATGGGATTTGGGTTGCTGGGACTGGGATTTGGCCACTGGGAATGGGAAATGAAGTCCTCAAAAATGGAAATGGGATTGAGAAAATGTGAATCGATTCCCAATTTTTCCACGTTTTAAGTATTTTAAAATACAATTTTGATCTGTTTTTGGTGTCTTTGGTCATGATTTTTGTTGTATAAATTATTAACTATATTATTCACAGCACTAACTGCGAACAGGCATACTCTGGCGCCCGGAATTCTTGGTTTTATGATTATGCGTGTCTCGGAATGCTGCAAATGACATTTCCGGGATTCAAATTTAAAAATTTTCCGTGCCGTCAGCACGACCCTCCCCCCGGTGGCTTAAAAAGTCTCAAAACTGTTTATTCTACCGATAAATTAAGGGGTTTTTATTGACTGTGATTTCAATAACTCGAACTGGGATTTCTGATAAAAATTCAACTGGGACTGGGATTTTGCCAAAATTTCAGGTGGGAAATGGGATTGGGACACCCCCCCCCTTCAGGACCCTCTTGAACCCTTTTTCTTGCAGACAATGAAGAAGGCAACGGCTCGGGGCATCTTTTCGCTCTAGACTGTGATTTAAGAGCGTCTTGGCTTTTCCAAATTAGCTCTTTGAAATCTTTATAGTTGGTCAGTCGCCTCTCACAAGGTTTGCAAATATTTTGAGGCGGGTTTTTGTCTCGTACGAGGAATTCGCACAAACAATCTTCAGCTAGCTTCAGAATATTCGCGTTTGCAGGTCTAAACAACTTTTTAATGTGAGTTACATCACAAATCTTCAGACATAAACGGCAGGACGAGCTGTAACTTTCTTTACTAGCACTATAAAACTTTTTCGGAGTATCTTTTGACATGACCAGGTGCGTACGCGAGCATGCAGTGTAAATTTGAAGATTTACATTAAAATTTAAAAGCGTGATATAATTACTAGGAGTGACAATGTATACTCACCCCCCCCCCCCACCCTAGTAAACAATACGCCATTTTACGCAAAATCCGCGGGTCAGGTTACCAGGCCATACCAGGGTATTTCGCTCCCCAAGAGCAAATACCCTGGGTACGAGGTTGGCATTTGTAGAGTCACGCGATACAAACGTCGCATTGTTTTGACGTTTTTAGTCGTATTTCCGGTTGGGATTAGCTCACTTCGAGCTCAAATGAAATGGAAGAAATGGAAATACCGTGATAAAAGATGCAAATTTGAAGATACAGACATGCAAAAAACACTGTAAATAGTGTTTTTGATGGGGATTCGAACAAGACTATTAGAAAGACGATATGTTCGAAGGGAACGAAGTTATTTTTGGCGAAAGGTATGGCTAGTCTTCGCGTTTGATCGCTACAATGTTAATAATGACTAATGTCTATATTACTATCGTTTGGAATCAGTTGATCTTTTATTTCTGAATCGAATGGTGGTATTTCTGTCTTCATACTATTGTTCCCAGTAAACTGCGAAACGACCGTTTTTTAGGGGCTTTGTCAGTGACAGTTTTGTCAATTACGAAGGACATATTTGTGTACCTCGTGATCACAATTCGTTGCAAGCGGCGTGTGAAAAACTGCAAGTTTCAGTTTGACAGTTAAATTAGTTTCTAATTTTATTGTCCAATCAGATGCGTAGTTTTGAATTTTAACAACACACCTGATTGGACAATAAAATTAGAAACCATTCAACTGTCAGAATTGTCAAACTGAAACTTGCAGTTTTTCACACGCCGCTTGCAGCGAATTGTGATCACGAGGTACACAAATATGTCCTTCGTAATTGACAAAACTGTCACTGACAAAGCGTCTAAAAAAACGGTCGTTTCGCAGTTTACTGGGAACAATAGTAGCATGCACTGAACCGAAGGATATGAAATTTTTAGCCGTCAACCTCTCGAGGATGACGCGACTGGCTAGTCTGGCTTGTGGTGATCAAGGAGTTAAGAGGCTGTCTCTCTAAAAACCGACCAACGAGCTTTAATGCGAAAAATGAACTGTGTTTTTTTCCCATGAACTGTGTTTGCCTTAGTAAGGTTTTAGCCGGTTTTAGAATAAAAACCATATGCCTCGAATAAAAATCATATGCCTCAAATTTCTGAGGATCTCATTGGATATACGACATTCGCCATTATAATTAGTGAAGAACGTCGTATTAGCCTTCTCATTGGACGTACGGAATTTGTCACTAGTGAAAAATTTCGTATTTACTTTTCCCGCCGCGCCACTGGAGTACAAGAAAACAACAATCAGTTTTTTTAGATGTCCGTTCGACTTTTGATTTGAAATGGCTTCACGCTTCGCAGAGACACCATCCGTAAGCGAATTCATTGAAGAACAGGAGAATAATAATACAAGAAAAAAGACACTGCAGGACATTGGACTTCTTCAACGATTTTTATCGTCGAAAAATGAATTCCGAAGGTCGAGGACATTTCCGTAGAGCAACTTAAGGAATACCTGAGCGAATTTATTATTTCTGTTCGAAAGAAAGAAGACAAGGGAGAATATGAACCTAGTTCCCTTCGTTCTATGTTTGCCAGCTTCGAGAGGTATTTGAAGAAAAAGAATGGGTTTAATTAGTATGATGATGGATAAGGGCTTTGAACGTGCCCGAAAAGCTTTGCAATCAAAACAAAAAGAGCTCAAGCAAAAAGGAAAAGGGAACAAACCGAACGCTTCCGTTGCTCTTAGCGAAGATGAAGTCAAACTGCTTTACGAGAAAGAACTTTTGGGAATTTCGAGTCGCGAAGCGTTGCTAAACACGGTTTGGTTTAGCAATACTATTCACTTCGGCCTTCGTGGTTGCAAAGAACACCGAGATATGTGCTGGGGCGACGTAAAACCACGCAAGAACGCGAATGGAGAGGAATATTTAGAGTATTTTGAGCGACAAACGAAAACACGTATACAGGAGACAACCCAAGAGATGTTAGAAAAGTAACGCCAAAAATGTATGCTATCCACACAAATCCGCCGGAAAAAGATCCTGTCTTTGTTTACAAGTTCTACACAGAAAAACGTCCGAATGAAATGAATGCAGACGAAGCACCGTTTTACCTCGCCGTAAACCACTGCAAAAAGGTTTCATCTGATAAGTCTTGGTTTAAAAAATCTGCTATATTGGTGTGAACACACTAAACTCGCTGATGAAAAGAATCGCTGAGAAAGCTGACCTTGGTCCAAACATCAGCAATCATAGCGGGCGAAAAACTTAACGATGATGCAAACTTTGAGAGTTTGACCAACAACGATGTTCCTCCCACAGACATAGTTCAACTTTCTGGGCATACTGAGAATTTGCAAAGCGTTACGAATTATTCAACCGTAACCCAAAACCAGCAAATGAAAATGTCTCGAGCCTTAGCGAACTTGGCGACTTGCAAAGAGTCCTCCACTTCGAGTATTAGCGAACAAAAGCCAAACCGGGAAGTCGAACACCAACAACAACAACAACAAGCAATGGCTTTGTTTTCTGGCGCGGTAATTCAAGGAGGTCACATAAGCATTTCGATAAACAGTTTAAATCAGTCCATCGTTGTTCACGTCTAGATTTTGAACTTTGAGTGACATTTCGTTTTTAATACGTTACTTATTAATAAGCGCACGAACACGGTAACGTGACGGTAATTCATATATTGTTTACGTTTAAATTTTACTCAAAATACAGTAATTGTTTATCAAGTTTTTAAGGTAAGGGGCGGACCATTAGAAAATGGGGGAGGGGGGGGTGGCAATTTTTTCGGGCAGGATATTTTTTTTTGCAACAACGTTGTGCAAGATTTTTTTTTTCAGCCATGCTTGTGTTGCACGATTTTTTTTTAAAGGAATGTGAACTATAATTTATTAATATTATACAGCCCTATTTATATTACCATTATATATATTGTTTACTGAATATATAATTACATTACATACACACAATACGAGATATAGACGTTTATTAAACTGATAAATACGGACAATGTGATAGAAGAAACCCTTCCGGAGTGGCTGGCTGGCCTTGGCATCTGGCAAGATAGTTTCGCTCCCACAACCCGTCGTAATAAAACCAAGTGCCGTTTACTTGAAATGCACCACGGTAATGGCCACTAGGCTTCCAAAATGTTAGTCCGCAAAGAATGTACCTAGATATTAATAAAAAATACATGAAAAACTGCCGCATATAGTTGGTATTTTATAATAAGTCAAGATGAAAAAAGGCTTTTGTACCTCCGTTGAATGAATTGAAGTTCACCAGGCAGCTGCGACATGCTATGAATTATACCTTTGCGGGAAAAGAGATCCAAGGAAATGAATAGAAAAGGGGGAGCACCCCGTGGAAATTCTCGTCGTGAGTTCTGCCTTTTACCGTTGTAAGTTTTCTGTTTTTGTTATTTTATGTTGTTATTTGTTAATATATAGTGTTTGTATATAAATCAACTTTATATTTTAAATACAGGTTATTTTAAGACAGTACAACTGAATATTTTAGACTGAGATGTGTATGTTTAATATAACTACAGTCTACATTATGTATAATTTTTTACGTTTATATATTTCCATTGATTTACTATTCTCTGAGGTTTATAACTTTACCTAAATATATGTTGGTCTAATAACTTGCAAGATATTTTTTTCCCACGCTGGGTTTCTGCAAGATTTTTTTTTCCTCTGAACTGACCTTGCACGATTTTTTTTTCTGAAATTGCCACACCCCTCCCCCATTTTCTAATGGTCCGCCCCTAAGGTAAGGTAAGGTAAGGTAAGGTAAGGTAAGGTAAGGTAAGGTAAGGTAAGGTAAGGTAAGGTAAGGTAAGGTAAGGTAAGGTAACTTACTTTATCCACGGTGTACTCATCAGGATTAAGATTACATACATATATAGCTATATATATAAATAAATCTACAAAATTATGCATAAAACTAATAACACACTACTTACAATATAAATAACACAATATATAAATTCATACTAAGAAATGACAAAAGAAAAACCTGCTTTACATGAGTGCCGTGCATTAATTAGGTATTACGATTGAGAAGAGAGAAATTTATTACAGCCAGATCGAAACGAATGTGCTCGTACGCGCTCATCAACATGAAGTAATCTCTATATATCTTTATTGTTATAATGCATAAATATATTTTGATGAAACTATATGATTGAAGAGATTATAAATTATTTGGCCATTCATTTACTTATAATATAATAATAATAATAATAATTTATTCATTTAAATAAAGCGCATGTTATATTATATACTCGAAGCGCTGTACATTATAAAAATCTAAATATATTAAGAATTAAATATGCTATATAAAACATGGTATTGTATACAATTAGAATATACACTAATGCATGTATGTATCTATAATAAGAATGATAGAATCCAATATGGTCTCAACCTATAAAGGGTTATAAGCCTTATTGAAAAGAAATGTTTTCAAGCGTTTCTTAAACACAGAAATGTTTTCACAGTTCCTGACATCCAGAGGCAGAGAATTCCATAATTGTGGAGCAGCATGTGCGAAAGTCTTACAGTTTGTTTTCGGGATGTATAGTAGACCTTGACAAAAAGATCGTAATGTCCAGCGATCACTTGATTGTTTTGGGATAAGCATTTCAGAGATATAGATAGGGGCAATGTTATTAAGAGCCTTGTAAACCAGTAAAGCAGTAAAGTAGATATCAATAGATATCAATGTTGCATGGGGATTGGAAAAATTTAACTGAGAGTAAATATGCATGCGAGCGCATGCATGCAAGTTTCAGTGCACTCACAGTCTGGTTACTCTTATGAAATTGAAAGCTGCAACCTCCTATATATACAGTCACTTCTTGGAATCTGCACTATAGTAACGAGAAATGTTAGCTGTGTTAAAATCTAGACAGTCAACAACTATTTCAGGTCTTTTATTTTGACTAAATGTCTTTCAACAACACCAGAATTAGAACAAGAACGAATACAATGCATTCAGTTTACGTACTTTCAGTCAGGAACTTAAAATATTCGTATGACAAATATATTCCATTGACATTGTTATAGGGAATTAAAATTAATGGTCATTCAGTATAATAAAGCCTCAGGTAATCAAGTCCAGCACTGTTTTAAAATGAGTACAGCATTGTGATGCAGTATCATTACGTACACAGCATGTATAGTGTGTTAACTTGAAATAGTATGATATTCCTTGCACACTGTTAATTTGAAGGTGTTAAAATAGCACCTTCGTAGGTGTTAAAATGACACCTTGTGGTGGTGTTAAATAAAAAGTGTTAATCTAACAAGTTGGGAATTGATTTTGAAGTGCTAAATTAGCACCATAGATATTTAACACTTTTCTAGGGTGTTAAAATAACACCCATTCTATTGAGTGAAAGTGTTAAAGTAGCACCGTTTTGAGAGTTAAACTTAGGGTGTCAAAATAGCACCTCGTGAACCGGTTTTCAGTCTTTTCAGATTCGAAGTGGCGGACCACGTAGGAGCGGTTTACGTTTTTCAGACAAGTAAATGGGGCAAAGGATCATCTTTTTACATATTATCGCCTTTAATGTAATCCTTGTAGGGCCTCATTGAAAAACTAATAAAAAATAATCGAAGCAATCTGTCATTTTGGTGTTAGTGATGTCAGGAAAGTGTGCAGTGATAAACAGTAAAAATATGCAGTGAAAAGAAATTGTGTGGTGATGACAAAATATGTTCATGCAAGGGAGATATAACAAGACAGCTAGAATTTTAAAGTTAAGAGTCTCTGTCAAAAAAACCTTAGAAATGCAGGTTTAATTGCACTGGATTGGTCACATGATTGAGATCAGTGCCTTCAGAAGGGCCTCCCAGAAGGCTTGGCGAGCACATTTCTAGCGCGTCGTTTGGAAATTTTAATTTAACGTCGGTTGATAAAGCCAAGATTTCTTAAATTATAGTAGAAAATAAGAAGAAATACTCCATTGTTTGAAGATTCAGACAATAATTGTAAATGTAAGTGCTCAACTATGTCAATATTTTTAAGTTTCGTGTGTAAATATGTGCCATAAATAGTAATATATTCATGATGTATATATTTTAACCGCCATTACCGTTGGCCGCATTGTATTTTGTATTGGTTCAACAATATATTGTTATTAAAATACATTAAAACTTAGTGATATTGCTTTGTATTGACAGGTTATAATTTCAAGCAATAAATACTGTCATAGCATGTGTTCTAAGCAAGTCGAACTGTCGAAATCATGATATATACAGGCTACAAAAAGGTATGAAATATACAATTAATATATTTACAAGGGCCCACAAAGGAACGATTGTTCGCTCATACAAAGCCATGGAACTTGCTTTGGCGATTAGATAAATATTAGCTAAATGAGTTAATATTGATACCCTTTCAATAGCGATCAATACATTAAAGTTAACAATATAAACATTTATATTTGTTAATGTATTGATCTATTGAGAGGATATCAATGTTGACTCAATAGCTATTAATATTGATATAATCTCCAAAGCAAGTTCTATGGCTTTGTATTAGGCCCTGTTTACATGAGACCACAACAAAGTCAAACTGGAACCATTTTGTTTTGCTCATAGTATGATCTATAATAGATGTTCACAAGCGACCGGGATGAAAATAACTCGACAGACCAGTCTCGAGTGATTCTGCCTGCTGGATGAAGCCGATTGACTTTAGACTGGCATGAATTCAGACCGGCATGAATGTAAACACAAATATATTTCAGACCGGTCTTGGCTGTAACCTTGACATTGGAACAACATATGCTGACAAAAGCCATCTGAACAAGAAAATTGCCTAGCAAGGGGAATAAATTGAAAATTTTGTGATTTTTGTACTGATCTCATGTAAACATGTTGACAATTTCAATTTTCCTTCCAGTTTGACTTCGTCCCCGTTTCATGTAAATGGGGCCTAACAATCAGAACAATCCTTCCTTTGTGCTATCTATATGGAGCAGAACAATCCTTCCTTTGTGTTATCTATATTGTGCTATTATAGTAAATAGCTCTATTTCTATTTAATATCCAGACAACCCAGGTAGAATGTTCCTAAATTCCCTGAATATATTGAGGATACATGTTTGAGTCCCTCATACTATTGTTTACATGCTTCTGAGATTCATGTTGCCACAACAACATCGAATCGACATTATAAGTGGGTGGGTTTTATGTGAACTTATCTCTGTTATCTTGTGGCAATTTGACAATTAATGCCAATAAATGATCAATAATTGACGTTAAATTATTAATGGACAATGAATTACAGTATCTACAAATAAACTTGGAATGTAAAATAATACATTTTGTAGCCGACTCACCACAGAAAATTACAGATTGAGTTGCATTATGCTCTGATATGCCCTACTTTATTATTTTACTTTATTTAATACCAGACTATTTAACTCTGTCTGATCCCAGATGATTTTACTTATCAGGGGGAGAGAGCTGGTGCTTAATGGGTTACCTGTCATATCTGCTCATGTGCCTAGTTACCCCTTCATGTCAACTATGCCACATAAATTGCACCCTACTTTATTATTTTACTTTGTCTAACACCAGACGATTTTACTTGTCAAGGGGAGCTCGAGGGCTCCCACTTAATCGGTTAGAGTACCATTCAGCAAAGATTCTATTGGTTACAAATTATCTTCACCGGTAACATAAACTTTCATTTGGATTGTGACGGATATAAACTGTATTGAAATGATCCAACTGAATCAAAGTATGTAATTGTGAGAAGTATTTTCAAAAGTAGGTTGTTTAATTACTGATTGAAAAATAGGAAAATCATTCAAAGAAATTCTTATTTTTTTAGGTAGTTAAACAATCTACTGTTTGCAACTGTAGCTAGTGAATAGTCTACTTTGCTGTATGATTGATTACAGTGATTACAGGTTTTGAAGAAACAATTGTTTAGTATCTGTGTGTTTATATTATGGACATGGATTAAACAATTAACATAGATTAAGATACTTAATTGAAAGAACTTAATCTATATATGTGTATGTATACTGTACAGAAATTTATTCTGTGTTTAAATCTTTTTGTGTAGAGGATGCGCAACCCCTTTTATCAGGATCTCAACCCCTTGTAAATATACACCATTTATAGTACACATGCAGTGAATATACTGTGTGAGAATTAGCGCGTGTGTTTGGTATTAAGGATATTGACATTAAACTTATATAACGACTTTAATTTAAACTAAGCTTTTAGTGATTGAACCAGTTCAGCTTAAGTATAGATTCAGTTACAGACAATTGTTTGACTATGTGCATCAAGACAATGTTGGGCATTTATAATGTAAATAGCAAAAATATACGCTCTAACAAACTATGTGATGTTACAATATTTTTCATAAAATATTCTTTCCTATATATATGTACATGAGAGTAAGGTCAGCATTTAAAATGTAAAATATCATCAGTTCCAGCAAGGTACATACAAGTCGTTTATGAATGGTTGGTATTTTATATTTGGATACGATGTCGACAAAGCAACTGTTTTGTAACCGCATGCATGCATACATGCATTCCATGAGGCTATTCTAATAATATAGTCTATACATGCAGAGAACGTATATTTATTTTGAAGAGTGAACAAATTATAAGCTAAGGTTTATATAGATTATTCTACCAGACAAAGCAAAACTGCCGTCTTTTCGCATTATCGCGTATATATGTTCGATTTGAAAGGAAGTATTTAATTTTTATTTAATTTAATTTAACACCAATTAAATGGAGTAAAATGCATGCACAAATTAAGTACAGTTTACGTTGCACTTTAGCTTATGTTATCTTTAAAAAAAATAATCAAGGCCAATAACGACGTATGATGACAATAACGACGTATTTCGATCTACGTTAAATTGAGGGGAAATGAACCTTCAAACACTCATTAATAATTCATAAGCTTATTGGCAAATTATGTCAACCATAATATGTCACGTGCAGAGGCTTTAAACCTGATAAAACACTCCTAATTAGTATTCTTTATATAAAGAATACTAATAAGGCAGTATCTATTGTAGTCGTGTCTTTCGTAAATTACTCGCCTCCAGAGTACGTATCTACGAAAAATCACTCGTATCGATATTTAAATAAAGTTTTAATGATATATCTTCGCTATATATCGGTAATCTCACAAAACTCTCTCTCTGTCAACAACAAAAATTTCGCTATATAAGCACATGTAAATGCAGCCCTACTATTGGCTGAATTATAGCAGTTTACTTCCGGTCACGCGAGTGTTCGTCACAATCTCCGACACACTCCCCCATATACATTCCCAGGGGGATGTATATTATTTCACAGTTTAGCCAATAATAATTGTTTTGCAACTTTCCTACTTTAACTCAATGTAAAATATAGATTAAAATCTGCGTGTTCGATTTGTTCGTATGTTCATATGTCGCCTTCTTCTGCCATCTCTTGAATACGTATACGCGCTGCTTCGCCAGCTGCTCTGCTCGGTCGAGGTTCAAACTTTGGTGCTGCAGCATTCAGCTTCGTCGGTTTCTTTGAAAACTCGACACAACTCAGTTTCATGGGATATAAATACTGCACCGGTCTTTCCAGTACCCCGTTCTTTGTCTTGAGCCGCACAGCTCTCACGACACCGTCCTTGCCAGGAAAGGTTTCTTCGACCACAGCTAAAGGCCACACTCCCCGATTCTTGTTGTCACTCAACACTATGACCACATCTCCAGATTTGGGACAGAACTTCGTTCTCGCATGAATCATAGTATGTCTTTCTCTCAATGCCGTTAGATATTCCCTCTTCCAACGTTTCCACAGGTTGTTCTTGCAGGCAAGAAGGTACTTGGCACGTTTCCTAAGATCATGACTTTCGATTCTCCATGTCTCTTCGATGGGTAGATGGTTTGAACGTTGGTACAGGAATGTAGATGGGGTTAGGGTTGGCAATTCCACATCGTCCTCCATGTATGATAAGGGTCGTCGGTTTATCTGTATTTCGATATCTAACATCAGTTCAGCTAGTTCGTCCCACGTCAAGAATCCTCCTCCAACAACCTTGTACATTGCCGACTTTACCACTGCGATTAACCTTTCAAATTGGCCGCCCCACCACGGGGCGCGGCTGAGATTGAACTTCCATGTTATCTCGTATTCCTCAACTAGCCCACGTATTCGTTCTTCCTTACGCACTCGCCTTCACGAATGTTCCACCGTTATCAGAATATATTACTCGCGGGCGCCCACGGCGGGCGATGTACTTCTTCAGGCTTACGAGAAATGTGGGCGTCTCGAGGTTTTGCAGAAGCTCAAAAGTGGCATCATGTAATATTTCCTTCGCTATCTCTCTCCTCGTCTGTACTTCTTGGACAGTTCTCCCTCCCGTTAACAGGTCATCAACATACATGCTACGGCGTAGCAGTGCAGCCTCATCAGGATATCTGTCAGCCCATGCGTCGAGATGACTTTCAAGGACTCCTTCGAGCAGGTACGGTGATGGAGCTAAACCGAATAATACCCTCGCAAACCGAAATGTTTCTACCACGTCCATTTCACTTCTCCGCCAATGAAACCGCAAGGCATCTCTTTCATTTTCTCTCACTCGTATCTGTAGAAAGGCTTGACGAATATCTGCCGAAAACATTACAGGAAAAACTCGTTGCTGGATCAGGACATCCCAGAGCTTGTTTTGCAGGGATGGACCGCTGTGCAGGCATTCGTTCAGGGATGGACTGTCCGGCGTTGCACGTGCTGAAGCATCGTATACTATACGTAATTTGGTCGTCTCCGACTTTTCCTTGACAACACACTTGTGTGGTATATAGAATTCTTTATTCACTGGCATGTCCGGTGCCTTTTCCACAATCCCTGCTTCCACATGTTCACGAATTATATTGTCATATTGCTCAGTCAAGCCATCACGTTGCAATTTCTTGGTCAAACCATTCAGGCGATGTAGGCTTCCGGTCTTGTTCGAAGGGAGTACCGGGTGATTGCTGCGCCAAGGTAAGCCAGTTTCATACCAGCCTTCTGGCGAACGCCGTAATTGCTCTTTAAATTCTGAGTGTACTATCTTCTGATCATGTTCCGATGAATCTTCTAGACCCAGTACATCAAGGCGGCAGAGCTGCTCGTAGTCGAGTTGACTGGTTTGTGTCAATAACATTGTTCGTCTGTCAAACTCATTACCTGGAGACATGAGGAACCATCCAAATCGAGTAAGTTCCGCGATGGGTTCCCCGGTTTTCCCAATGAGTGGCTTTGTATTTGTTTTTATCTTGGCATAATCCCCCACGCTGAGGATTATATGTATAGGTAGTTGATCTTTGGTATCCTTGTCCGCAATGTCGACTGGTTGTAGGTGGGAATATGTCGCTGCCATTCGTTGGTATTGTGGATTGGGTATTGTTAGCAATTGAGACTTGTTCACTTTCGTCAACTTCGCATCCATTTTAAACTCACCATCGATGGAGGAAAGCTCAGCATCATACAGTTCCAATTGAGTAGTATGTGTCCCCATTAACATTTCCACCTGTCTTGTCGTACGTTCGCTTGGCTTCTTGTTCATCATATCTGCAACTTTCGCTGAAACATAGGAGCTGCTGGACCCACTGTCAATAAGTGCTCGCATTGTTATCCCGTCTACTTTCACCAAGACTACTGGGAATACCCCTTCTCCTACTTCATTTGCGGTCAAAGCGATTTTTCTTTCCTCTGATGTAGTCGATTTATCACATATAGATGTGTGGTGCCGCTTACCACACTTTTGGCACAAATTTTTACTCTGACATTTGGCTGCTTGGTGGCTCCCGAGAGCACAGTTGAAGCAAAGATGTTTCTTGGCAAGGATTTGTTTGCGATCAGCGACTGTTGTTACTTTCTGACAGTCATTAGCTTTGTGATCACTAGAATCACAATATACACAACCCCGTCCTAGATGAGAATGAAACAGTTTCATCTCTTGTCTCTTCTTCTCTTGCTCTTCGTCCCGATCACGATGTGAAGTATCAACTGGATTCCTGCGCACCCACAGCCGCAATGCTTCTGCAAGTTTGTCCAGATCCCAAGACTCCCATTCCTTATCTGATCTTACCAAATCTCCCCGAATCGCCGGTAATTTGTCAAGTGTCAATGAGGTCAGACCATTCACGCCATCCAACTTTTTCATAGTCTGCAAGGACTGTACACAGTACGTTAACTTTTCGCTGAACTCGCTGATCCTTTTTGGGTTATTCGATGTTATTAACGGTAAATCTATTATGTTCTTACTATATGCTTTCACAATCTCGCTTTCTTTCCCGTATTTCTCACACAATATAGCTTTTGCCCGATTATAACCTTTGGAAGTGACTCGACGTCACGTCGTACTTTGTCGCCAAGTAACTCTTTTAGATACGAAAATTTCACAACGTTTGCGATGCCAGATTTCTCTATAGATTCGCTGAATTGTCCCCAAAAACGATTCCAGTCGGTGAATGACCCGTCGAACTTCGTTATTACTAGCTTTGGCAGCTTTACGGCAACTTCTTTCTCCGCTCCAATGGTTTGTTTACCCAAAACTTTCGTATTCTGTTCCGATTGAAGTTGTAATTTAGTTTCGTGAAGCTTCATTTCAAACTTGAACTGCTCTTCTCGCGCTATGGATTCTTTCTCTTGCTTGTATTCGTCTTGCCATTTCTCGAGTCGCTTAATATCCTCATCTGCCTTCGATAATTTCTCTTCAACTTCAGCATTCCATGTCGTTATTTCATCTTCTGGTTCGTCGTTTGTAATTTTTAGTAGCTCGACTTCGCGACGTGATTGTTCAACATCTTTCGAAAGCGCTTGTAGCGACTCTATTTGGCGATTTATTGCGATATCTTTCGTCGATTCTAACACAGATACGGTTCTCCCACATGTAATAAGTAACTGCTTTAATTTAACATCCAGAACTGCGATTTTCTCATCGGGTTTGGTCGCCATAATATTCAAAATATAACCACGTCGTCACGAAATAAACATACACGATAATCTCACAATATATTATAAATATACGTACACAATATTATTTATAATCTCAAATCCCGTCGGAGGTGCCACGTTTCGTAACTTACTCGCCTCCAGAGTACGTATCTACGAAAAATCACTCGTATCGATATTTAAATAGTTTTAATGATATATCTTCGCTATATATCGGTAATCTCACAAAAACTCTCTCTCTCAACAACAAAATTATTTCGCTATATAAGCACATGTAAATGCAGCCCTACTATTGGCTGAATTATAGCAGTTTACTTCCGGTCACGCGAGTGTTCGTCACAATCTCCGACAGCTATGGGGATGGGTGTTGACATTCGAGCCATCCGCCAAATTATACATATTGGACTGCGAAGTTCAGTGAAGGCATACTTCCAAGAGACTGGACGTGCTGGCAGAGATGGCAAGCCCTCAATTGCACTGTTATATTACAACAACAGAGATATAGCCAAGGACAGAGTTGGAATGCATGATGACATGCGGGCCTATTGTGTGAGTAACATTAAAAAACTCATTAATAATTCATGCCGAAAACACAAAGAAAAATCATAAGCGTGTCGTATTTGTATATGTGATACAGATTCATGTTGATTTACATAAACTTTAACTTTGATTTTCTTGGCTTAGACAACATTTATTTTTAAAATTACTTCGCCAATGAACTCATGAGTCATGACATTTGCGTCTGTGTTGTATCGGATATACAACACGGCCGCTCATGTTGTAAACATTACATACTTGTCTCAGGAAATTATTATTGAAGTCATTAGATTACAAATGGGATATTGTTTTTAAGCCATTACACCTTTATTGTGGTGTCTGTGAGAAAGACTTTGATTGTCCCATGTGCTTACAGCTTCTCATGGAAAAACTTTAGGTACTACAGCTTTAATTAATACTACTGCTTTAATTAATAGACCTTTTTAAAAAGTCTGCCTTCTGCCCTGTTGGCTGGCTTGCTTGATTGGCCAAATGATCATATTTATCCACAAACTATGTCACACCTTTTTATAAAGGACTATTCCATTTTTTTTGTTCTCAGGTGCATTAATGCCTGGGTCTCAGTTTGTGTATTTGGCGAAAATAGACAAAACACGCCTGACAAAAATGCATGCCAAAGCGCTAACATGCTTCAATTTCTTTAATTTTCATCTTGTTTCTACAAAATTTCCCATAAACATAGAACATCTCATTCTTACAAATCGTATGTTTTTTGTTTTTTGAATTGCTACATTTTTGGTGGGAAAATGATGTCACAAACTTGCAGCTAAAAAATTAATATTTAGCTATTGCTAATTTTATGCATTTATTCGGCAGACGACATTGAGAGAGTTTTAAAACAGAAGTCTGTTTCGAAATACAACCATTCCTTGCGAAGATATCATGACTCAAATTTCTAAAAATCGGCCATTTTCTTCTATTTTTAGTAACAAAATGGCCGATTTTCGACATTTGTACTGCCATATCTTCGCAAGAAATAGTCATATTTAGAAACGGAGTTAAGTTTTATGGCTCTCTCAATATCGTCTACCATATAAGCGCATAAAATTAACAATAGCTAACTGTTGATTTTTTAGCAGCAATTTGTGACGTCATTTTCCCACCAAAAATGTAGCAATTTGAAAAACAAAAAACATACGATTTGTAAGAATGACATGTTCTATGTATGTGTTTAGGGGAAATTTTGTAGAAACAGGATGAAAATTCAAGAAATTAAAGCGCGTTGGCGCTTTGGCATGCATTTTTGTCAGGCGTGAAAAATCATATGACCTTGATTATTTCCATTCAAGTTTTATATGATTTGTCAAAGGAGATTTTAAAAGTTGACCTACTTTTCGTTGTCATGGCAACGATCATTGTGATGTATATTTCGAAAAACAACACAAAAAATGATATGTTTTATTCAGAGGGCTGTGCAGCAATATATTTCATGACTGAGAGGACACAGAATTGCGATAATCATTCACACATATAATGTCACTGTTGAATGAATCTGGAAAGTTTACATTTAGGCTTCGTTTCATTATTTTATGCGGCTATATTACGATGATCAGCATCAAACAAATGTTAATCGCGTCACTAAATGTTATCTACAAATAAATGTACGATTTCCAAATTAACGCAGAAAACTTTGTTCCCTTGTTAATGTTTTTAGCTAATAAAAATAACAAAATTTTGTCAAATTATCCTGCTGCAAGTCGAATGCGTTTTTCACGTGATGAATTTTATGTGCCATATTTCCAATCACAGCATTCATTGTGCGTTCAAGCCGATATCTTGAAGCATAGTTAATGCTTGAAGGGAAGTATGCCAAGGTGGAAAAGACTGAGTGAACTATGTGTGCTATAATTAATTTGTAATTCACAAGCAATTTTTCATCGAAAATGAGAAACAATCGACAATTAATACTGAATAATCGCAAGATAGCGCACTATAAGAAGCTTTTATTTATCAGCAGTTCAAAGGTCAGCTGTCGCAAATGATACAATACTTATTGCTATACAAATTAAACGCCAATTATTACATCAAAACTGAATAGTATACCGACTTCTTTGCATTGTATATTCCAAAATAATCCTGTTGCTCATATAAACTATATTTTGATTTGAAGCAAATGCCCGAATTGACTAAAATACTCGCACAAGTATATTCTAACAGATGCATTACTGACAGATTGCGCGTGCAACACGCGCGCAATATATCATCCAAGCGTGGGCAGACCCAGGCATTAACATGCCTGAGTTAGAGCATAACATCACTCATCAGGGCTCCTATAATATGTCTACCCAATATCTATAAAAAAATTTGCTAATAATTTTACATGATCAATGATCATGTAAAAATTATTAGCAAATTTTCATTTGCTGGACTAGATAACTATCTGCAAAGCAATGTTTGCAAAGAAGTTGAAAATATTATCCACTGTCTGCTTGTGAAAATATTATGGACCCCTTAGGCCACATAAAAAATTATTTGTTTCGTGTCCTCTCCCGACACGAGAAAATCCACCAATCTCTAAAATTTTAAATATTTTTTTAAAACCCTCCCAGTTTAGTGGTGATTTTCAATCGCAAACTCAATCTCATTCCCAGAGTACCTGTTCACAGTTAAGGTGTTGGGCATGACCCTTATGTCCCATATGTTGTATTTTTTCTGTTTTAAATGCAGTATTAATTAATATTAAAGTTATGACTGTGGTGGTGTGCTGAATATCCAGGATTGTGTTTCTGAAACACCCTTAAGTAGAGTTTGTAGGCAAAATTAGAAAAACCCTCCCGCCCAACCTGGAAAACTGAAATGGGTGGATGTTAAACAAGTAATTTTTTATGTGACCTTAAGGTGGCTCGATATAGTTATCACAAAAACCCTGTTCAAGAATCGCGAACTCAAAACCGGTTGACCATATTTACGCGCAGGTCGCGGAAACTGATTAACAAAATGAAAGAACTTCCAAAATGACCTGACGTGAGCAGTTGCTCGCGCCATCTCACGCCATTGCGCGTGTTCTATAGCGTTTTATGTCAATTGCTGACGTCATTAGAATTTTCCATTTTAGAAAAACAATGCGCTATATCTCGTTATTTTGTCTGGTGACCTATGTTCAAATTTTGCATGCTGTATTGCACCGCTAAAAATTTTCATTATACAAAAAATAAAAAAATTCTGTAATGCCAAAAAAATGTTACCAAAGAATATGACATTTTCGCATTTTCCAAAAAAATGGCATTACAGAAATTTTTTATATTTTGCTAATTGTTAGCTTTAAGTCCAAGTAAAATAATGCACGAAAAAAAATTGGGGGTCACCATGCTTTTTTTCCAACTATACGAGACGATAGGCCATTTTGGAGTCAATTTCGTACACGTATGTCGTCATAGCAACGAACTATCTGTTACTAAAACGAATATAATTTGAAAGTAGAGTTATCAAAATATATAAAAAACCCAATATCTGCTGAATAAATCCTAAAAATGCGTAGTTTGAACATGTCAAAGTGTTAAACACCTGAATTTTTGAAAACTGTATCGAGCCACCTTAATGTTAGACAATATTCTCATAAAAATACTAGTTTCATTAAAACTATTCTAATAAGGAAAATTAGACAATTAAACATTAGACTTATTACAATTTGGTGGAAAACAATATCAGTGTTATTTAATATACTGTAGCCAATGATCTATCAGGAGTTAACTCTTTATCATCCGTCGATAAATTTGATATTTTTCATTGAATTACTTCTGATGAAAATATCTCGACGAGTATTCCCCCCTTTAAAACTGAAACCACCATTGGAGTCCTCAAATAATAACCTTTCGAACGGAGGGTCAAATGCCGTCATAACATTACACAAACCAAAACAATCGTATATTTTACTCACCGCTTGGCCAAACATTTTGAATTTGATATCAAGAGAATCTTGAATATGTCTTGAACTTTTCGGTATTCGCCTCATGTCAATATAAGTAAAATACTCCTTGTATTCAAGCACTTTCGTGTAGAAAATTTTGTTTGAATAGGGCCACTTGAAATATTTATTTTGAATTTTTCAATATATCGGGTTTTTACTCGCATGTGCGTGTCTCATGATAAAATTGTCCAATAAGGAGCTCCTGTAGCCCCATGCACGTGCAAATCACGCTGTAGGGATAATGAATAAGGTAGGGGTAAGAATTTTATCATGTCAATAATCAATAATCAAATAATCAATTTGACCTTTAGAATTGATTTCCGACATTTCCCGAGTGATGGGATGTAAGCACGCAATGTTTTGGAAAATCTAATATGAATTTCCGGTTGAAGCTCTCGCGTAAAATTTGGATATTTTGAAATACCAAAATAAAAGATGCAAATCTGTAGATATAAGCTTGAAAATAACACTCTAAATAGTGTTTTTGATTGTGAATCAAACAAGACTATTACGAAAAAGATATCTTGAAAGGGGCCGA